GGCGGTTCACTTTCAACTTCTTGTGAGAAATTTGTCTTAGTTTCTCAATTTCAGACTGGCAATTCGATGCGATGTCTGTGAAGCGACTTTATTTAAACTTTTGGGTCATTTTACATCGGCTGTTTCCGTCCATCTTGCTTATTCGGCGTCATGTTCGCCGCCTCGTGCCGTCGTAGTATTTACTGGGTTAGGAGCGCTCAAAGCACCCTACGAATTAACTAGTTTTTTTTTATATTCAATTATTACTAAGTTCGTAAGTTCGTTAATTGCACGTCTCCATTTCGGTTAATGAACTTTCAATATAACATGAGAATGAATGGAATTATCTCGTTATTGCGAAGACTTTTGTTTCTATAGGTGATGATTTATCATGCGGTGAGTATCAAGTAAAATTTTTTGAAGTGCTATTTACTGTCTGACGTGAAGCAACTATTGCGGCTGATAAACTTTTTATAAAACCAAAGGTTGAATTATTTATCTCCTTATAACTATGAATTTTGAATACCTAGTGAAACTTCGAATATCTGCGTTGAGTATGGAGTGAAACTTTTCGAGTGGAAATACAGCAAGTGCAACCGAAATGCGTTGCTTCGTGCGGCAGCACCAAAGCCGTCCAATTGTCGGGCGTGGCTCACGGTCCTCGACTGCAAAAACACTCCACCTTTCTCGCAGTGTATTGTAGTTTGTGTATTTTTCACGCAGTGTATTGTAGTTCGTGTATTTTTCACGCAGTGTATTGTAGTTCGTGTATTTTTCACGCAGTGTATTGTAGTTTGTGACTTGTTTTTACGCAGTATTTTGTTGTTTGCGACTTTTTCATACAGTTTGTGACTTTTTTACGCAGTGTATTGTAGTACGAGTCTCGTTTTCACGAAGTGTATTGCAGTTTGTGGCTCCTTTGCATTGTGGCAGTTTGTTTCCCTCTAAGTTGTCATTTTTCGATTGAATCACGAATGCGTTATTCTAAGAACATAGGCTGATTTTATTCAAAGCAATATATACTGATATTCATTCCAGTTTCTTATTCAGTGTTCACTCCTACCTAGTAAAAGTTCTTACAAAAATAAAATCACAATCAGGGAAATTTTTACCAAAAAGATAATGATATTGCACTGGAAACCATTTTAATTCGTTAAATTTATTCTACATTCAGTCTTCAAGAGATTTATATGTAATACTCAGATGCCAGAGTATTCGCCTATATATAGCGTTTTCACGGCCGTCCGAATAGTTTACAATAAACAACGTCTCTGTGCTGTTCTTTTATCATTGTCTCGAGCTACTGAAGGCTATTTGAACACAAGGCTACCGTCGGTTCCACGCGTGATATCTCGGCAATCACGTTCATGTATCATGTCACCTTCAGTTGAGTGTTGAAACTCTCGACGCCTCGACCTCCTCACATACATTGATTATATCTTCATCGGTTGGGTTTCCAAACTTTCGACGTCTCGACTATTATTATATTTTGTCGTCTCGATTGGTTGCCAACATTATGATGAGACCTTGAGTTGGTTACCATTAGTTGCCTCCTTATACCTCTATAGTCACTGGCTTGCGTATTTCCGTATCTTCTTAATTACGATTGAGACTAAAGCCCTTCTATTCCGACTTCTTTCTCATAACTTGTTGGCATATTCTCACGATTGTCAAATTATGTGCAAGCGTTACATCCTGTGTGACACTCTTATTATATTCTAAATATCATACGAGCTCACGATTGGGGATAGCGATAGTCATGTAGGTTAAGATTGTACGTAATTAGTTTAGTTTCACGTAAGTCATTATGGTACCTGGCCACCATCATGGTGTATTCATTTTTCTGAACAACATACCTATTCAATTTATACGTGCTTGGGTGTGGTGACAATATCGTGCTTAAACGTACGCGTGTATGCAGATACTTCCGCGTGTTCTTTGTTCTGCTCAACCTTGAAGATCTACTGCAACTGATAGAATTAATCTTGAATCAGTTGTACGTTAATTGATTATTAAGTGATAGCGTCGCGATGCTTGCATGCACGTACAAGAGAGATTCATATGCGCTCTTAATATGAAAATTGAATGTAATATTTCGAATTTCAAGCTTCTCACTGTTTGTTGTTTATAGCACGATTAACGGTATCTGCTTTCTCGGTCCTGCTCGTTTACGAACAACGAGAATTTGAATTTATTCAGTATATTATTTTAAATATTTCCCGTTTCATTATTACAAATCGCTTGCTGTAAGATCTGAAAATATTGCTCTCGTGACAGTATAAACTAATCAAAATTTTAATGAAAAGTTGTTATTTTTTGTTGTTTTACTATTTTCTCATTTTTGGTGTTCTCTTTTTCATCGATTTCAATTTTAATCTCGATCGCTGGACTGTTGACGCTCGCTGCTGAATAATTCCCTTTCTACCTCCCATGCAATTGAAAGTCGATGTCGTTATTGCTCCCATGTCAATCTTTGTAGCATGCGTTCTAGGCATCGCATAGAATAGAGCTATAAGAATTTATAATATAATAATATATATTAGTTCATCGAGTTAATCACTTTCTTGGCTGTGTGTGTGTCTTTGTATTCTATCATTTCTGTCACTTGCGGTACCAGAAAATCTCCCGTGACTGAATGACCGAGTAATTTTTATCTTCCTCTCACTTTCAATTAATGGGAGTAAAATATTTTTCATGTCTAGTTGCCCTCATAGAAGAAGTCTTTCTTTCCGTGGTTCTAACAACCGGATAGAGAAGCATGTAGTAATGTCTTCTCTTCCTCCGATTGTTGCCGATTAGGGCTTAGCAGCGCGGCAATATGACTCCACCACTCTGCTCGTTTGGTATGCATAAACCCTTTATTATTCTCATGTTGATGAATCATTGAAGCTTAGAAAACATTTTTTTGGTTGCATTGGGATGTGATTTTGGTGCGCGCGTTTTACTTCTAATTGGAATTTGCTATTTATTCGCGCGAATTGCTTTACTCAAATGCACCTCTTAATTTTCGGTGCTACCTAAACTGTGACACGCGTGTCCTAAACTGTGTGAACCTCCTCCTACTAAGAATGAATTCAATGATGTGCAAATAATTGCGAATTTGATCTTCACTTTTCATATTGATGTTCTACATACTACGAGTCTAAAATAATCTTAGGTTAAATCCCCTCACGGAGAAAGTTGAATCCTGCGCCCGACGTTGGTGCGTGCTGGATGCGAGTGTTGAGGACTTACTCATTAAAGTCTCACCATTTCGCTCGTTATTGATCCTGCAGTGTAGCATTTGCAAGTCCGATAAGCTCGACATGAGTTGCGCTCATTTCCGCTTATTCTTTTGCGGTGATCCCTGCACTGGCATGCGCTGCCGGATGCTTCACTTGCTACAGGTCGCTTGCTGCCTTACTTGCTGCAGGTTACTGCCTTACTTGCTACAGGTCGCTGCCTTACTTGCTGCAGGTCGCTGCCTTACTTGCTACAGGTCGCTGCCTTACTTGCTGCAGGTCGCTGCCTTACTTGCTACAGGTCGCTGCCTTACTTGCTGCAGGTCGCTGCCTTACTTGCTACAGGTCGCTGCCTTACTTGCTGCAGGTCGCTGCCTTACTTGCTACAGGTCGCTGCCTTACTTGCTGCAGGTCGCTGCCTTACTTGCTACAGGTCGCTGCCTTACTTGCTGCAGGTCGCTGCCTTACTTGCTACAGGTCGCTGCCTTNATCAACATTGATTGAACGTTTAAAAATAAATAAACATTCAACGTACCAATATCGACATTGTTTCAACGTTGAAATAAGGTTGTTTTACGTCTGTTCTAGTTTTGGTCAGATTTCGACATTGATCGGACGTTTATTTTTTGTTGTTCAGCACTTCAACCTGATATCAACATTGATTCAACGTTTAAAAATAAATAAACATTCAACGTACCAATATCGACATTGTTTCAACGTTGAAATAAGGTTGTTTTACTTCTGTTCTAGTTTTGGTCATATTTCCACGTTGATCGGACGTTTAATTTTGGTTGTTCCGCATTTCAACCTGAAATCAACATTGATTCAACGTTTAAAAATTAGTAAGAATTCAACGTATCAATATCGACGTTGTTTCAATGTTGAAATAAGGTTGTTTTACGTCCGTTCTAGTTTGGTCAGATTTCGACGTTGATCAGATTTTTAATTTTGGTTGTTCAGCATTTCAACCTGAAATAAACATTGATTCAACGTTTAAAAATTAGTAAAAATTCAACATACCAATATCTACGATATTTCAACGTTGAAATAAGGTTGTTTTACGTCTCTTCTAGTGTTGGTCAGATTTCGACGTTGATATGACGTTTAATTTTGGTTGTTCAGCACTTCAACCTGAAATCAACATTGATTCAACGTTTAAAAATTAGTAAACATTCAACGCACCAATATCGACGTTATTTCCACGTTGAAATAAGATTGTTTTACATCCGTTCTAGTTTTGATCAGATTTCGACGTTGATTGGACGTATAATTTGGGTTTTTCAGCATCTCAACCTGATATCAACTTTGATTCGACGTTTAAAAATTAGTATAAATTCAACGTACCAATATCGACGTTATTTCAACGTTGGAATAAGGTTGTTTTACGTCCCTTCTAGTGTTGGTCATATTTCGACGTTGATATGACGTTTAATTTTGGTTGTTCAACATTTCAACCTGAAATCAACCAATAATCAACGTTGTTTCAACGTCAGATGCCTGCTGGGATTATATCTCTTAAAAATTCATTATAAGCAACAGCGTCTACTAATTATTGACCCCATTCGTGAGAATATGTGAGCAGGTCGTAGATAACATAGGGAATAGTTTCAGTTCCCTATATTTACTCTAGTGTTTACTCAGGCAGGCTGTAGGCTTGGAGGATGAATGAAGGCTTGAAGGATAATTTCAATTTCTTATTTTTTATTTTATTGTTCACTCGGGCAGGCAGTAGAATTGGAGAATGATGGTTTGAAGGATTATTCCAACTCCTTATTTTTAATTTAGTGTTTCCCCCGGCAGGCTGTAGGCTTGAAGGATGCGGGCGAGCGGGGGTTCGGACGACCCAGGGCCCGGGGACCCGTGGGAGGTGTTCAGTGCCCTGGCGCTGCTCATCGTCGAGGGTAGGAACCCTGGCGGAGACAAAGGATACCATGCAGGACCTCACTGCCCCACCACCTTCCCCGCTCTGCACAAGTGCGCCAACCATCATCATGTCTGCAACTCTGACAACCCTGAGGTACTTATTAATCTATTTATCTATTTTCTTTATCATCAATTTTTTATTAGTTGGTATTTTATTTTTATTTTGTATTTATTGTATTTTTATATTTTTATTTATTGGTATTTTATGTAACACCCATATTTGCTTATCCACTTAACTTCAAGCGCATATACTGAGACCAGTAAATATTAAATGCAAAAACCTTTCTCAAGTGAAGATCGAAGCATGAAGTTTCGCGTCACTACTGAGAGTTGAGAAATAAAGTGTACGTATTTCTTGTATTACCGGTGAAATTGTCAGCGTTACATTTAAATTGATTTACCTATCCACCAAATATCAGTGTGCAAAATCATTCTAAAAGAAAAACGGAAGCACGTAGCTTTTCTTCATCTATGAAGTCTTCATGAGTGCACTACATGGTGCGGCTTCGTGCAGTTATGTTGGTCTCGCTTGCTCCCTATTTGTTGGTATGACTCATCTAGTCTGTTGATATGACTCACATAGCCATATCAACACTCATCTAGTCTGTTGACGAGCACTGCAGATCTGGTTGCTGAGCCTTGTTTCACATTTAAGCCCGAAACGGAGGAAAACAGTAAAACACGCTCTTTATTTTTCTTTTATTCTTACAAATTCTATGATTTAAATAAAGCTGGTTAATTTTATTCATCTTGATTTGCGTGGGCGATTTCAAACCATGAATAATTCCTAATGAATTGAATGAGCAAGAAGTAGGCGAAGCATATACATGCATTAATCTGAACTATAATAAATATACATTGTACGATTATTATGCTGAAATATTTTCTTTAGTACTGGCATTAAGCTGAACTAATTGGCGGTCGGAGGTAGTTCGTGCAATGTTGTGTAAGCTAATGCGAGTCTGCAAGTAATAGAGATAAGGTAGATATTACATTTAGTGAGATGTATAGGAACAATGAAGAGCTTTATGGGTTGACTTTGTGACGGCTTCATAAGTTTTTTTATCGGGAAGCTTTTTCATGCTATGTATTGTTCCTTGTCTTGTCAAACTGTCAAAAAATATAACTCAGTACTCACTGCAGTGAGTGACAGAGAGCGCATTATCTCGTCGACGAAAACTTGAGGTCACGGACGGACAGACTGACGGACATGTCGAGCACAATATTGCATTTTTTCCATAAATGAGAAAATGCGCTAAAAATTGACATGACAGAAGCGGCGTGCGGGAACCTTTTCAAACTGGTAAAGAATTGGCCACGAAAGAACAAAATAGCGTTCTCGAATACAGCTGATACGTCCTGCCGTGGTTATTCCCATGAAATTTACAATATTTACAGTTTACAATTAACAATAGTATTACAGTTTGAATTATGATCGCTCCTTTTTTCAACTTTGGAAATTATTTATAATGAACTAACTTTTCCTTAAATTATTTAGTGTTCATTTGCGTCCAACCGTCGTCTCTCGAGTCGAATTTGAAAACTGTTTTCTTTGAGAATATTTTTTGTTGAAAGTGCAGCAAATTTAGCTCCGGATTTTTTGTGGCTCTAATTCATGAAAAATTTTTTAATGTAATGCTCCCGGTTACAACATTTTTTATCCTCTATATCCCCTAGGGAGTGACAAATATTCGTCCCACCGCCCCCTCCAGCGCTCGAATGTCCGCCTCTAAGGCGCCAAGTTACCGATATTTTTACTTGGATTTGTAAAGCTTTTCTTCCTCGCGTTTGCCTGTGTTTATATCTAACACTCCGAGAAATTAGTGAGATTTTGTCTAAATAGTGATGCACTTTTTACTCATGTGTGGGTCACCCTGACCCAGTTTCAGTGCTAAGTTTTCTTTGTTCGTATTGTGGTTACCAAAGCGTGTCAGTATTTGTATTATATGACCCATTTATTTATCTTAAGTGCTTGCTACACCCGAGGTCGTTGACATGTTCTTGGCTCTGTTCTTAGCTCTCGCTATTTGCACAATGTCTCCCTCATTTGTCTGAGTGTATCATCTCTGACGTCTAAATTTCATAATGAATTTCAAGATTTCATCTATTTCATCTCAGTGTGAAGATTTCACCCTGATTTCATCTATTTGAATTCCCTGATGAAGCAAGATGAATTCCTATCCCTGATGTTGAAATAGCTTCATCTTGCTATTAGCATGATTTTTTATTGTGCGAAACTATCTGCCCTCGAACGAAAACTCCGGCACACGCACATCTAGTTTGTTTCTTATTTTATTCAATTCAGTAATATTATTAGAAAGCACATGCACTCATTGTTAGAAAACACATGCACTAAAGTCAATTAGATCCACATCTACCAAAAAGTAGAATATTTTATTCAAGAAGAAGTGACTCGTGAGCTCAGGCCAGCCTGTTTATAGCTGCCTTAACTGGCTTAGTGACAGGTTCTTCTCGCTGGTTACTCGCAATCTTATAAACTCTAAGGCTGCACTAATCCTTCGAAGTGCGAGCTAAAAATTTCTTTTTAAACTCTTTCATTTCGATTTTCGTTTGTTATAACTGAATTTGATATTATATTAACGAAAATGTTAATTACCAACAATACGTGGACAACGTAATCGTGTTTCCAATAAACGCAAAATGAAGATGTGGTAGAGAATATATTAATCTTCCTTGCTGCGCGCTATTAATTTTGTGGTTGAATGAAGTTTCGGTTCTGCGTGACAGCTTTTGTTGTTGTTATCAGTTCTATTTGCATGGTAACTCTGGTCACGTGAGTCACCAGAGCTGTGCTTCACACGACGCGCTGTGCACGCGAGTTACTTGGCCCTCTTGTTGGCAACCGCTCTCGTGTTGACACCTTCTCATGCAGTGCGCTGTTCATGAGCTAAATGATATGTGATGCATTCAAGTTTTTTTCTGTGTCTTATGGATCTTATGTAATTTATTGTTGCAGCACCTTTTTCTTTTTAACCATTTTTCTTTCTGACCATTTTTCTTTCTTTTTCTAATTAATAGTATCTCGTAAATGCGCCATGGGTCTAATTTCATACTTCCTAAACTCTGAAAAAAATGGGTAATATTGTTCAAAAATTTACACTCTCTTACTCTTAGCACGAGCAGAGAGCGGACGTAGCTCTGATACGCGTGTTTGACTGGCCAAACTGTGTCATGATAACCCACCAAAGGGCATAAAGTTCCTTGCTACTTGAACAATCTCCTTCATTTGTCTTAGTGTACGCTTCAGGCCTAGCCTCTGTCACACATCGGACCTAGCCTCTGTCACACATCAGACCTAGCCTCTGTCACACATCGGGCCTAGCGTCTGTCACACATCAATCCTAGCCTCTGTCACACATCAGACCTAGCCTCTGTCACACATCAGACCTATAGCCTCTGTCACACACCAGGCCTAGCCTCTGTCACACATCGGACCTAGCCTCTGTCACACATCAGACCTAGCCTCTGTCACACATCAGGCCTAGCCTCTGTCACACATAGTATGCCGCACCTCTTGCATTGTAGTAGTGATTCAACTCAGAAAAGATCTCCGGAGGAGATTCTATTTAACGTTTCGTTCGCGGAACCTCCTCGTTCAGCTCATGTTTTTTGTCATGCTGGTGCTCCGTCTTATAATTGCTTTCTCAATTGAAAATTATTGGCCGGTCATCCACTGGCCCGTTATTTTTTACATTTAGTCGGCGGCATTTTCGAATAAGAGTGACAGATTTCGGAGGGATTAGGGTCGAATTATCAAAAATAATAATGAGTTTGTAGCCAATTAAATCTTTACGCTAATTACAGAGTAAATCTGTAAGCCAATCACTGACGACATCTCAAGCTAAACTCGACAATCACTGATGTAAGATCGTCTCTCCGTTCACTTCAGCAAGTTTTGACAGTAGGGCACCTGCGTTCTCATTTCTTCAATGAGAAACTAAACGTTTAATTCCATTAAGTATGCTGCAAGAGACAGACAGTTTTCCTTTCCTTTATATTTGACCAGATACGCAGAGATCCTAGACACCTGCCTGAACCACTGAGCCCCGTGACGTTGGTTAATTGTAAACAGTCAACTCTCATAAGCACGTATGGCCGGAGCTGACCTACAGTAAACACTACCCTAGCCTCGTACTGACGCCATACTAACAAAAATAGTAATTTATAAAAGAAAAATAGTTTATAACTCACTCAGGTAATTACTGACGGCTTTTTAAGCTTGACCTGCCAATCATTGACAAGGAATTTAGCGCTAAGTTTAGGGTCGCATCATCAAAAATAATAATGAGTTTGTAGCCAATTAAATGGGACGAGTTTTGGAAGTGCGGCCGCTGCGCCCGACTTGCGTCGTTCAAGATCTCGCACTCGCCAAAATTATTAACCTAATACGTGGTACTCTTTTAATCATATTTAAGACTCCTTCGTAACTGTTGCTAAGTTGTCATCTAAGTTCGAAACCCTAACTGTGCGACACTGGATTAGTTTTCGAGTGGGTCTAAACAGAACGTTGTGTAACTTTATAATTGGTTCAGAATTACTTCCGATTATAGCCTGTCTGTGGACAGCAACTGCTATTTGTAGCATTTTTACTGCAGCTGTACATTTGATAGCGTGTAGATAGAAAAAATTTATTAAATTCTCATAACAATAATTCGATTAATAGTGTCGTTTGTTGGTGATGAATATCATTGTATTCGTGTCCATTTGTCTGGTCAGTGCGCGCGAGCATGCGCGTTACTGCGGCAGTTGCGCGTGATGTGGGGCGTGGGTGTGGGCGTGAGCATGGAGGTGCTGGTGGCCCCAGAGTGTGAGCATGGCAAGCTTCTCGCCGCCACGCTTGACACCGCCACCGCCCCACGACCTTCTCTCAAACTCATCGAGCAGTGGAACTTTACCATCAACCATAACAGGTGACCGATGCCTGCCCCTTGACTGCATAGCGCTCTTTGGAATCGCCAAAAATAGTAAGTGTGTTGTAAAAAATGGTCAAAAATTGGTTAACTTTCTTCGCAGCTTTCTGGTGCCTAATGAGATTTTGAATTCGTATATCGTCAGGAAGAATTTTGTTTGAAATAATGGTGTACAAAACATTCTCGGAACCGTGACATGGCGCAAGTGTAACTCGTCGAGTGTGGGCAATGAAATCATTGTTCTCACATAATCTATCAGAATGTTGTATGAAAGAATAGGTAGTGTACACAATATTCCCGTAACCGTGGCAGGTGCAACTCGTCGAGTGCGGGCAATGCAATCATTGTTCTCATTTCATCTAGCAAGTATATGAAAGAATAGTGTACACAATATTCCCGTAACCGTGGTAGGTGCAACTCGTCGAGCGTGGGCGGTTGGCCACTGGTGGCGGCGGTGCGGTCGTTCCTCCACTTCTCGCAGTTGTCCGCGTGGCTCAGTCGCTCCGCGGGCCGTCGTCCGCCTAATGTTCTCTATCGCCTCACCGTCTCCTCCCCCGTCTTCTGCTCCAAGTTTCAGGGCAAGTTCGAGGAGCACGTCTTTCCTGTGGCTTCCGTTGGCGCTCAGACGAGTATTCAGGTTGGTTCAATTGACCATCGAAGTTTTATTTTAGTACTTCTATATGCCTCAGTGACTTTTATATGCCTCAAATTTCGGTATTTTTTCCAAAAAACTTGATTATTCTGTACGGATTTTCTCCCGATAGAGGATTCATTGATCATTATTTGGCCATTTTTGGCGAGCGGAGGTCGCTGTTATCGTATTTCCAATGTTCTATTTCTGAACATTTGTGTGTGCAGGTTTCTGTGAAGTCTTTGCCACGTACCGATGTTGTGCCTACCGCAATATGCACAGAGAAACACGGCGAAATCTTGCCTCGTGGTGCTCAAGGCTTGTCAAGCTCGTGTGCTACATCCGTGGCTTTGACTTGGAGGACAGGAATAAACACATCGTCCTCGAAACCCTCTGTGCCTCAGATGGATTGTGGTCCTGGAGTTTCTTTTTCGACGGCTCCAAACTCGAGCGTCGAAGCTTCGAGCTCTGCATCCACTCAAGCGGGTGGCTTGGTTTCCTGTCCTCGTTCTGAAGGAAGTGGTGCTTCGCCTGGCGTTTCTTCGTTGCTTGTCTCGAAAGTTGTCTCAGTTAGTGGTTCATCTGGCTTAGCCTCTGCTAGTCGGGATGAAAAGGCCTTTGACAACGTTCCGTGCACCAAGTCATCTGCAGCTCCAAATAATTTAACGGAAATTGCAGTTCACCAGGACTTATCGAAGGAAAAATTCATTTCTGTTAGTCCCGCTCCTATGGAAAATATGCCATCTCAGGATCTTACCTCGTCTCCGCCCTCCGAAGCTGGCCTGACCCATGATTCCGTTTTCGTCCAAGCTTCATCTATACCCGATGCTCCATTTAACACATCTTTGTCATCAGAAGATGGAAATGTCGTCTCGCATTCTTCGCTGCCGCAGGATCTTCCGTCCTCTGGGTTCGTTTCCTCTGTAATTTCTGGTAAATTTTCAAAGTCCAGTACTACAAATGACTCTTTGTGTAGTCCATCTACATCTGGAAACTCGTCTTGCACGGCCAAGTCTACCGCTTCACCTTCGTGTTCGTCGCGATCTTTCATCTTCGACAACTCGACGTCTCCTCCGCCTGAAACAGCTTCTTCCTTCGGGACTGCCGTCCTTCCCGTTACTTCAGTTCTGTCTTCTTCTCCATCCAACTCTGATGCTTCTCAGTTGCAGTCATCACCCCCTGCAAACGGCTCCCAATCAAACGGCTGCTCAACTGCATCGAACGGCTGCTCTGGTCCAAAACTGGCAAAAAGGTTAGTACTAGTAGAATCTGTATAGTTTATTTTATGTTCTTTCCTCACTCGAGATTGTCAAGTGCAACAAATAAGCCTGTTTCGGAAACTTTGTGTTTCGCCTCATCACCCGCGATTATTCTTTTTTTCAAAATAAGGGTATCATTTATATAAAGAATATCAATTTAGTTCTAAGTAATATTTCTTATGTTTCGACGAATGAACCATTAAATTGTTTCATGACATAAGTTCAGAGTAGAAAATGCGCGGGATATTTCTCGAACTCAAACTTTTCCTCATGCGATGGATTGGAAGTCTGGAGAAATGATCTCACGTAAGCTTTTGATTTGCAGTGACGACCTCCGAGTGTGCCTGATGAAGGCGCAGCTGGAGGAGAGCAGCAGTAGCAGTCGTGGGTCCTCCCCAGACGTGATGCAGCTGGGGGAGAGCTTGCTTGATCCTCCTCACGCCTCACGCATTCCCCGTTGTTACCAGTCCCCTTCTCGGTCAGGCTCCCCATCTCGAGAAACACCCGAGCACCTCATCTGTCGTCCCCGGCACTACTCGGTGTCAGAGATCCGCATGAGCTCCTCAGGAAGTGGGGAGTCGAACGGTTCTTGTCGGCCCATCGAACCCGACGTCATCATCGGCCGGAATCCTGTCAGCTTGGGTGGTGGCTACAACCCCATGGCCTGGACTCAGTCGCGGTACCCCATCCATACCACTGCCCAGCACCACAGCGCGCACGCCCAGAACCACAGCGCCCACGCCCAGAACCACAGCGCCCACGCCCAGCACCACAGCGCACTCGCCCAGCACCACAGCGCCCAAGCCCGTCACTATTGTCCTCCAGCTTACGGGCATCATCATCTGTCGAAATCACCTCCTCACGTGCCAATGTCTCCTCTGCCTCACTCGTCTCAACACCCTCCGCCTCACACATACGAGCATCCATTGCCTGACACATCCCAACACATAGATCAGCCATCCCAACACCTCCAGACTTACTCATCTCAACTCCAAATAAAACTTGCATCATCACACCCACCGCCGCATCAACTACAACGCTCATTGCCTCACTCTTCGCAGCAGCCACTGCCTCCTCCACCTCAACAACCGCTGACCCATCCAGCTCAACATTCACTACCTCACCCATCCCCCCATTTACAATCTTACTCATCACAAGACCCAATGAAACTCGCATTCCCACTGCCCAATTCATCTCAACACCCGTTGCCTCACTCTTCCCAACACCAAGTGTCGGATTTTTTGCAGTTCAAACCGCTACCCCCTTCTTCCCAGCGTCTTTTGTCCAATAGTTCACAACACGAGTTTTTCCACAATCCAACAGTCATTCCTCAGGAGACTCCAAATCAAATATCCGCGTCTGGCGTGGCTGACCGGCCTGGCACTCCCGGCTGCGTCAAAGGGAGCAGTGGCTGCGGCAAGCAGAACATGCTAGAAAATGTGGAGAATCTGCGTAATTTGCGAGGAGTTGCGGATCCCAATAACGGTGCAACGCGCGTCTCTAACCCTCCTTACGACGCGAGCCGCGCCTTGAAGCACACGCAGTGGGGAAAGAGATTCAGGGAAGATTATGGTCAGTCGATCCCCGTGCCAGGTAAGAAAGAAGCGGAAATTCATCGAATGCTTAATTTCTACGATGAAATTGACTCCTTTTGTTCGGACGACTGGGGCCGCTTGCTTGAATCAAAATCGCAAAGTTCAACAGATCAGCTCGCAAAGTCAGACGAAGCGACCATACGAGCTGCTAAACTGGAACTTGATCTGTCAAAAATGGGGAAGGACTGGGTTAGTGCTCAAGGGTCCATTTTGCCTCCTGATGAATGGAGTCCACGCAGTCGTGAACTGCTCATGCAGCACCTCGGCAGCGGCGGCACGAAGAGAAAAGTAGACTCGAGTGGCGACGAGGCTACTCTTACCTCTGCAAATAAGGGCAGGAGAAAGGAACAACCGATCAGCAGCAGCAAGAATGGGGTAAGCTAATCTGATGAATATTTATCATGTTTTCATTAGACGATGTCTTCAAATGTAATCCTTTATTACGCTTTGACGTTCAGTAAATTTAGTGATTCGATAACTTACGTGTCTTTTGCAAACGAGAAACTATTCGAATTGGAATAGTTTGTTTTAACTCAATATAATTCTCTTCTTCATCCGGCAGAGTACGTGCAATGAGACTTCTAACAACGGTGCCCCCAAGCACCATTTCGAGTTGACTCCAAAAGAAACTCTTGAAATTTTATCAGTTTTGCACCAAAGAACGCCTTGGCTTCCATCTCGATCTCCACGTTCTGAATTGTCGCAGCGGTCTTCAACCTGCCACTTCTCCCCGAAACACAGCAAACCTTACGACAGAGTTCCAGAAAAGACATATTCTAATACGCGGGAGGCTGAAAATATTGCGAGTTCTTTACTGAACTACCGTACACCCAGACAACCTTCGGGCTCAGACAGCGATGATGATGATGATGATGAGGAGGAGGAGGAGGAGGAGGAGCAAGACGATGATAAAGGTATATATAAGTCTCAAGATGATCTCAATGGTTATGGAAATGGCAACGGTATTCATGTTACGAACGAGTCGACTAAAAATGGGAAAGCTCCTTGTGAATCGGTATCTAACACTAACCCTTCTGAAGCTGAAGGTTCCGATTTGTGTTCCAAGACCGACGACTCGGACCAGGGAAGATCAAACGAGAATTTAAATTCTCACGTAGCGACCATTGGTGAAAGAGTGCGCAGAGCGCTGACTTTTGAAGGCGAACACTACGATTCTTCTAGCAATGGCCGAGCGGACTGCTCCGGTCCGTCTTATAAAAGATCTCCGCAGCAAGCGAGTCTATTCAGGTCTTTGATGAAACGCTCCTATCAGGTTAGCACCGACCATCCATGGAGCAGCTGCAAACAAGCCAAACCAGATACGTTGGAGCTCAATCAAGAAGCAAATGATCTCACTAGCTCTTCAAGTAGTTTTAGTACTAGTATTGATAGAGAAAAACACGTCAGTGAAGCTAACGGGTATACCACGGTGTCAACTTCCGAGACTCGCCCAGATAGTCCGGGCACGCTGCTCGGCGACGAAGAGGTTGCCCACATCACCAGTCGCGCCGCGTCTCAGGGCAGCCAAAACGCCTCGCCCAGTGATACCAACTCTACGCCCACTAGCCTCACTTCCATGCCAACAAGCCCTATCACCATTCCCTCCGCCTGTGAATCGCAGCGCAAACCTCCGCGAACTACGCTCAATTCACAATCAAATTTGGTATTTCACATGAAAACTGGCCTACCTCTTAACTCTTCTCCTGCACCTCTAAGGAAAGGCGGTTCCAGATTTGATTACGACGCAAGTCTCAATTCTTCTGCGGCCATTAAAAGGTATGACGTTCTGGCCCCGCATTTGTTACACATTAATTCAAGCGAGTCTAATATCCTTGAAGCTTGTTTATACGCACTAATAAGATTCTCGTTTCTTTTTACGTCTATAGCATCGATTGTTTTAGCTCTTTTTTGAAAATTTGTAACTTTCCTAGCGCTCACGGATCATTATGAATGAAATTGAGTCAATTAATTTTCATCGGCACTTCTAACATGCATCAATTAAACTATTAGACTTACCTACTTTGAGATTCTTTTTACTAAACTTGATAGGCTGAAATTCCGGACTTGAAGTCTGACGCACATATTTTGTTTCAGGTCGATATCATTCCACAACAGCGTCCACAACGGAGAGAACAACGACTCCATCATGCACCAGCTTTGTGACTGTGAGGAGTCTGCAGCTTGTGGGTCAGAGGCTTGTTGCCGACACACTTTGTGCTCCATGTCTGCTCCTGCGACTGTGGCGTCGTCCAACCTGCTGGGCACGTTCGAGGAGTGCGTCCTGCACGGCAGGCTGGAGCCTGTCTCTACCGTCCAGGGCTTCAGGGCAGAGATCGCCGCGTCGGGCGCCTTCTGCCCCGAACATCTCATTAAGCCCGTCACTGTCTTCTTCTACACGCTCGGCGACAACGACCACATCTCCAGCCCGTACATGGTTCGTTATGAGAGTTCCTCTAGCCCTTACATGGCTCGTAGTAAAGATATACTCGGCGATAACGACCACACCTCAAGCCCGTACATGGTTCGTTTTGAGATCTTTTTAAGCCCTTATATGGTCCGTAGTAAAAATATGCTCGGCGACAACGACCACATCTCCAGCCGTTATATGGTTCACAGTGAGAGACCTTCTCCAGCCCTTATATGGTTCGTAGTGAGAGACCTTCTCCAGCCCTTATATGGTTCACAGTGAGAGACCTTCTCCAGCCCTTATGGTTCGCAGTGAGAGACCTCCAGCCCTTATATGGTTCACAGTGAGAGACCTTCTCCAGCCCTTATATGGTTCGCACTGAGGGACCTTATCTGGTCCCTACATGGTTGGCATCTGCCAATTGTTTTGATTCATTTCATTTAACTATGTTTTACGCACGTAGCAGTTGCATTACTATATTCTATTCTATTCTTTATGCCTTTAATAATTTCCACCATAATTTGCTATTTTGCCCTGAAGCAATTTATGGTGAGAATTGCCCTGAATTTTTCTGGTGAGCGCTGAATTCAACCAATAAATTCTATCATTTTTCTATGGGTAACGTGAGCCTAGAGAAGAAAGGCTGCCCTGAATTTTATCAATAAATTTTGTCGTTAAATTAGAGCCATTTGAACTTTCCTCACGAATTTTTATTTTCTCACGGCTCACGTGAGCCCTGAATTTTTCCTACCAATCTTATCGATTTTCTCCCTAGGTCACATGAGCTCTAAATTTCCTCCCTCTACCGCCTGACATGAGTAACCGGAGCAATATTGTCACAAGTCTACTTCCTAAAAAGAATACGTTCTAGTGAGCGCAAAATGACTTGCACTGATGGTTGCCATAACATACGACAACTTTAAAATGTTCTCTGTTGCGTACAAACGTCCTCAGGTTGCTACACTCAATAGTTTACGTGTAATTGAATGTTCCCGGAGAGTTACATGCGGCGATGGAGGGTTAAACTCCGTTATTTTCGCATGGTTCAAATGTCCTCCGAATTTCCTCCTTCAAATTCTATTATTCTCGCCAGGTTCAAATGACCTCCGAATTTTCTCCGCAAATTCTATTTTTTCCGTAAGGTTCACATAAGTTCTGAATTTCCTCCTTCAAATTATATTTTTTACTCCAGGGTCACGTGAGTCTTGAGAAGAAAGGCTACCGTGTACCAGGCAAGGGGACCGTACAAGTGACGTTACTGAACCCCCTGGGCACGGTGGTGAAGATGTTCGTGGTGATGTACGATCTGAGCGACATGCCCTGCAATGCCCGTACCTTCCTCAGACAACGGACCCTCAACATGCCCGTGGGCGCCTCCGACCTCGACCCTGATGCCCACCAGTGGCTGCGATACCTCATACATCTCAAGTCTGGGCTCCTTCAATCATTATAGAATTATTTTCTCTGATAATTGTGGCATAAACCTTTAAATTCTCAACATTCAGTTAAAAAATAATAAAGATTCAATCAAATAGACCCTGACATTAAGCCTGACGCGATATCTCATTCAAGGCTTCTAAAAAATTGTAGAATAAACCTAAATTCCAATGAAATACTCAAAATATTATTCATTTGTTGGAATAAACATTTCAAGGTTCAAGATTGTTACACCTAAAGTATAAACAACATTAATGTTCAAGATTGTTACACCTAGAGTATAAATAACAATGATGTTTAAGATTGTTACACCTAAAGTATAAATAACAATGATGTTTAAGATTGTTACACCTAAAGTATAAATAACAATGACTGTCTCTTATACACATCTAGATGTGTATAAGAGACAGCCTAGGAAGTGAGCACCACACATGTGCTCCCCTAGGAAGTGAGCACCACACATGTGCTCCCCTAGGTGCATATTAAACGCTGTGATGAATTTCATCATCGATCATCTTCACGGTTCGATGCCAATGATGGGAGATCGTCTGCTAATCACTGAAATCACTGAAAATCATCCGCCTGTTTCATGCTTAATCGGCATCGTTGCCTTTGAGTTTTCGCCCAGGATGAAGCGAGCGTCGATTGTTCTGCCCGAGCGAATCCAATTTCGTAGATATCTTTTTTAGGAGTGTATTCTAAAAAATATTAATGCTGGGATGAATGATGAATTGTCAGAAAGTTTGGAACGGGACTTCACAATACGTTATGATTCAAGTCTTCCAATAGATGGTGAGATACGTGCTGATAAATGTTCCTAAATGTATCATTGTTAGGCTGCATTTTAAGTACAGCTCAAATTAGGTTATTTTTGTTCAGCAGCATTTGGGAGTCTTCATTAAATAGGATTCCTAATTACCGACCAATTATATTTCGGATAAAATTTATGTCTATCATCGCTTAATGGATTTACTTAGGGGGCTCCTTGTGTAAATGTTATCAAGGATTCATCATCGTTTTGTCAACTCCCTTACTATTCGAAAAATTTTACTATATGCAAGTTACTAACATTTAATATTCTTTTACGTATATATACCTTTTTCGAGATATTGGCTTCATGTAATTATTTTCCATCAGTAATCTGTGAAATTGAGTTCAATTTAACTTTCTTGTAAATCACTTGAGCCGACAAATTACAAATGGGATGTTTTAAAATGTTCACGAGTTGACATTTAATTTGAAGTTGTTCATTCCATGGACGTTACTCAAAAAATTTCCTTAGTAACAACTAACATTTATTAATGGCACCGAAGGATGAATCCATTTTTTGTGATACAAGTGTTCACTTTCAATCAAATTAACTTCAAACATGTAAAAATTTATTCATTATTTCACTTACTTTAATCTGTCAAATTTTGAGTTTTTCATAGTCTTCGATATCTTTATTTGTTCCTTGCTGTCTGGAATTTATTCTCTGTTTTAGCTTTCTGCCTCAGCCAAAATATATTAGAGATATTATATGTATATTGTACAGCCAGTATCATATTACTCATTCTGAGAGACTCTTCAGCAATATTTGTATTAAAAAACATCAGTATTGGTTTCTCGACCATTTGTGATTTTGAGTGACCGAACACATCGATTAAATAAGATGCAAATTCAACTCTCAAGCATAATAATTCAACTAAGTCTCAGTTACTTACATCTTTTCATTGTTCTGCATCTTTAGACCAAAGTTTCGACAGCTTCTAGAGTCTATGACTTAAGAGTTTTGCGTCCATCATAAATTTCTAGTTCTATTGCATGTTCTATGCTGTGGCAATGCGCATGCTTCACTATTGACAATGCGCATACTTGACTATCTGCGTGTCTGATGCGTTGTCATAATGACTAATTATATGACATGTCTTGTTGTTAATTAACAGACATCTTACTTATTATTTCATATGTAATTATACTAAGTGGGAGGTCTGCTTTGAATATTATTCATAGTTCCCGCAATTATGTGAAAGTAAATCATTTTATATAGTTTAACGACTATCAAAAATAGTAGACAGCTTTCACCATTTTGAACTTCGACTTGAACCAATTGAAAGTTAGCCTTTTTCACTTTAAAGTTTGACTTTTTCAATTTGAAGTCTGCCTTTAACCACTTCCAAAGTCCACTTCAAACCCTTTTATGACTGCACAGGATGAACTGTACCTACACCAAGCATGATTGTAACACTCATTAATGATGCAGTCTGACAAGGGTTAAAGTTACTCAAGTAAATGATAATGGGTGGAGTCAATTATAAATATGTCACTCACACAGCAAGTGGCTCAATGTGATATGGACCCAACAGACATTTGACGTTAAACTAACGGCGAATTCTTCGTTTTTTTGTTGAATCAACGTCAATTAAACATTTGTTCGACGTCATTTGCCTTGTGGGCCGCGAAGCTCTTTGTTCATAAGGAGCTCGACTGGCCGAGTCCGTTGTTTGTACAGTACGGAGTATATCTCATTATCTTAGGTATCTTTATCATTATCTATGACATCTTCATTAGCTAAGATATCTTTATTGTTAATCATGATGTCATGTGCGCGAGAGCAGTTCTGTGATCTTGCTCATGAGGTTGAGTGAAAATTATATTTCTGAGGTTTGAATGAAAAAACTTACGATGGCTTTTGAATTTAAGCAATGATAATCATCGCGGTAGTTGATTAAATTTTATGTTTATATTATTTTAATATATATTGGAAATTTTGTTTAATAAGACTTTCAATTAAAGGCATCGAAATTTTATGAAGTTTGAACATTTAAGTTATGCATTCGAATTATCTTGTAGTATTGCAGTGGCGATAGCTTCTTCTGAATTCATGATAGTTGTCATGTAGTGGCTCATGATAGTTGTCATGTAGTGGCTCATGATAGTTGTCATGTAGTGGCTCATGATAGTTGTCATGTAGTGGCTCATGACCACGTAAAAGACACCCGCTGCGTTCAAGAGACATCCTCAAGACATTACCGTCTCACTCCGAGCAAATTACGACCTAAGGAGCCCAATGTATGCGCTCGAATAAATAAAAATAGAATAAAATTCTGAATAAAAACATTAGGAAAAATAAATGGGCCATATTATCCATACAGTCACAGTTGACATTCTTTCAACTCGTGGCAAAGATATTGACTTTTTTCCCGATCAAACTTGGTCACGATGGCCAACACCAAGGCAAAAAGTGCATTGCTTTTTGGACAAAGCCAAAATTTGTTTCTTTTCAGTGCCAGTGGTCGAGAAACACGCTTTATTTTTTCGATAGAACCGCGTGCAGCACTTGACTTTCATTTTAGTGCTCGCGTCGCACCAGATATTCGAACTTATAGTTAACATTTTCTATCATTTATTATATCGATAGGCAGGAAATTTTCTTATAATGTGATCTTTTGACTTCAGAATGACCATAAGACTGGCTCTTCTTCTTTGTGCAAGTTTTCTGTATAAATTAGAGTTGCGTTCCCGGCCTCAGATAGGCCGAACGCCTAAAATTTTATTGATGCCAACTTTATTTATTTATAAGAAGATAATAGATCTTGATGGACAGCATAGAGTGTGAATAATGGCAGGGCATGAGTGGTGAGTGATCACAAGTCTGAATAGAGCTAAAGAGTTTGAGATGGAGTGATGAATAGTGTGAGCTGGAGTGAAGAAAGTGTGAGATGGAGTGATGAAAAATGTGAGATTGAGTGATGAATAGTGTGAGCTGGAGTGATGAATAGTGTGAGCTGGAGTGATGAATAGTATGAGCTGGAGTGATGAATAGTGCAAGCTGGAGTGATGAATAGTGTGAGCTGGAGTGATGAATAGTGTGAGCTGGAGTGATGAATAGTGCAAGCTGGAGTGATGAATAGTGTGAGCTGGAGTGATGATTAGTGAACTGGTGTGGTGACATATGAGCTGGAGTGATGTTATACTTTGCTATGTTGGTTTTGTTCGATGCTTTTACCTATATAATGTACATTTTACCTCAAGAATCTGAACCACGGCAATTCCTATTCCGACGCCTTCATAAGTCAACTTTTCTTATTCTATTCTTTGTTTACATTTGTACTTCAATACAATTATTTTGGTTCAACTACGTTTATGCTAATTCTTCAGTGACATGGCTCGAGGAACAAAAAATTGTAATGATATCGTGTCATTAGTATTTCTCAAACTGCATCTTCGTAAGATCTGCCTCTAAATCTTGCTATAAACATTTTACTAAAGACTTGAGTAGGTTCTTAATTTTTAGGAAAAGTGCTTGACCAATCTCAATTTCTTACTTATTTTTCCATTTCTGTCTAGGACTATGAAAGTTGTTACATTAATAATTAAATTACTTCTACTTATCTTCATCCGCAATAGTAATCAAATTTTTGGTGATTTAAATAACGACGAAGGGTTAATGAGAAATCCCTTCTTTTTCCATGGGTTGTTTTGCTGTGGTCGATTTGACGAGGTAATTAGGGAATACCCTCGGAAAAACGATTGGGTCATTGTTCAAATATTTGACACACATACATAAAATATTTGACACACATACATAAAATATTTGACACACATACATAAAATATTTGACACACATACATACTTACCTAAGACGAGCAGAGAGCGGACGTGGCGCTGATGCACCATTTTTCCAGGCCGAACTGGGTTGAGATGACCCAATTTAGGATAAAAAGTGCATAGATATTTGGACAATGTCTCACTCATTTCTCCGAATGTCGGAAGAGAATTTCCATGGAGCTCAGGGAAATCGTAGGTGTCGTGTGGTCTGTAAATGTCTTTCACGTGTAAATAGTGTGTTAATTTTAAGAGGTCTGTAAATGTCTTTCATATGTACAGTGCGTAATCATAAGCTATTAATTCCCACGCTACAGCTTTACGTTATTTCTAATTTCTAAATCGCTATTTTCACGAGAGCAATTCTCCATCCTTCGTCTTCACTAATTTCAAATCCCGGTTTGTTTCACTTGATATTTGTGTTCAACTTTTATGATGATAACGCGTGTCCACGGTTCCATGGTAATTTTATTTTAGTGTCATCATTGTTTGAAGGTGCCTCTGACTCACCATTTCTACCTGTGTGCTAATAATCATTTTGCCTGACCATTTTTAAATGGAACTCCACTATTTCATCGAAAAGTGTGGAAAAAGTTTTAGTTGTGCAATCCAGCCACTTGCTGTGAGCAGAAAGGAGGCGGGCTTTTTTTGCAAGTTAGTCTAAATTTTGCTTCGTAATGCCAAAATCATCGTGCCATTTACATTCATTTTTTCAGATGATTCAGTAACATGAACAAAATTTTGCAAACTCTTCACGTGTAGTTACATGCTTGCATGAGAAATGTTCCGTTATGTCATCAAATTTAGTGTAAAAAGTGATGGTTGAGAGTACCGAAAGAGCGTAAAAATCTTCAATATTCCGTTGATTACTTTCAGCCAATTACTTCTACGTACGGATTGAATTAGTATAAAACTTCAGTGTTGAAATTTGTTACTATTAATAATTTGAAGCTTGCGCTTGTATCCTGCCATTAATCGTGTAGAGGCCAGAATCTTCATCGAACGTCCCATATCTACGCGACGACATGCATATCTACTATCAAACGCGTACTCTTATTATTGATCATTTATTTGAACTAGCACATTGATCCTATGATTTATCTCAGAGATTCATGCTTCCAAAAAACTACGGTGGAACTATTTCACATGCGTTCAAGGACGGTATAGAACCTTTTGGTCACCACGGTAGAACTATGACACATATGTTCGAAGAACCTTCTTGTCATCACGGTAGAACTATGACTTATGTGGCATGTGTTCTAAGATCAGGTCATCTACACCTGCTACATCGCATGTGCTACAGCCGACACCAATGCCTGTGAGGAATTTCATTGCCGGGAAAAGTGCCGCGGAAATTTGATGGAAATTTAAATTTACGGAACATGAATTTACGGGACACAATAATTTACTCCATTTCATCATGTAAAAATTTGTTTGTTTACTATTCTATGTGTGTCTGTGAAGAGAGCTTCGTTCTCGGTGTCAGCGATATGGTTCTGAGTGTTAATTAGTCGTGCATTAGTAAAGGCCAAAAGTTGTAACTTGATTTATTTGATTTCATTTTTAATATCATGAGGATAGGAACGTGTTTCCCGATCTACTTGGTGCAAAAGAGATGGTCCGGTGCAGTTGTTCACGATGTTTTGCTTTATTGATGCCTTGTTAGCCGCAATTAACACTCGCCTTCTGAAGACTTGAGTTAAAATTCGACGAGTTCAGCAATTTGGACGATAGCAGAGGCTGCACTGTTAACTCTAAGACTAAAACTACATATTTTGTGCATTGCAATGAAATTGTTGATCTATATATATATATGAAGAATATATATAATTAGATGTTTAACGAAGTAAATCCCGCTATTTATGCAGTTTCTTATTTCTTCCTTTTTTACTAGTTATAAATTTTAAATAGTATTATGAGAATTAATAACGCTAACTTGAACGGTGCTTGATGCAACTTTTCCTTGGAAACATTATCGAGACTCTAAACCTTTATGCCAGGATTTTAATTTTAATGGATGATGGAATCCTAATTTAAATCTACTATTATCAGGGACGGTGCCGTATACCGGGAATTTTGCATGGTGTTCAATTTAATTACCCGCATGAGAGATATGGAAGTAATACCTGGTTTGTTACATTAGCTTAATTAATTGGAAAAGTGAGATTTGTTAGAACATAATCGTACTTAATGGTAGTAACAGGTACTCGTCGCATGTCCAAATTTGTCAAAAAAAAAAAAAAAAATATGCCCCAGTTGGAGGAATTCCTTGCTTGGCTGTTATACTGCAGTAAATTATGCAGAACCGACCAAGAAAGCATCCCAGGAATTTTACGTAGAATTCGTTTGACATTCGCTTTACATTAATAGGGGCATTTATTAACAATTTTTCTAGGGAATTATCGATGAACTTGCATTCCGCACATAGAAGTTAACGAGTTGTTGTGTCCAAGCAGAGAGCGACCGCGGCAATGTTGCGACTTTTTCCATGCAGATATTCCCGGATCTCAGATTGATTCTCATTTATTTATTCTCAGATTTATTTATACGAATAAGATCGTCTGTCTGGATGAAAATTCCCGTGCTCAGCGAGTTCAATCAGAGTAGAGGAAATTACTGGTTTATCGTTCTCACATTTATTGTCATCACATTCATCGTCCTCATAGGGCCTATGAGAACTCCACATCGTGGAGTTTTCATAGGCCCTTTTAAGTTAAGGCATATATGATGTGCCCCTCGAAACCGGAATACAAAGGAAAGCAGTAATGTTGTAATGAAAGTATATAAAATTTCATTAAAATTGATTGATAAAATTGCGTCATAACTTGACATTTGCATGACTAAAATGACTAAGTAGACGACCAGTGTATCTTCATTACTAAATACATAAAATGGGTTTGTTAGGTAACCTTTCACTACACTCATGCATTTGAAGCGAGGAAACTATGATTCAATGCATCATCCTCACAACGTATGCCGTTTTTGTTTCAGAAGGAATTGATTATTTCTATGTTGTATTTGGATTATGAAGGAGGGCTCGCTTAGATTCTTCTAGCGGAGTCATTGAACTTTGAGTTTCATCAACCGATCAACAACAAGCCGCTCGTCTATAATGTATACCTAAACCGTTTCAAATTTTGGTTTTGCAGCCTTATAGGAACAGGTGTGAGGTGTCTATTGGCATTAACAATACTATTTTAAACATTTTTAAAGTTATAAGACTAAAAAATTGCACCTGAAAAGTAGCTTTATTACATGAACATTTCGGAGGTTGGGTGTTTTTAGATGCTGAGAGAACGCTTCCCAGCGGAAGTGGTTGTTGATGTTCGTTATCGTACCTCCTTGTGAAGCCGCAGTGCCCAGCTAACGCTTGTGGCGACTGGCAAAATCGAGCAATGCAGCTACCTATTTTGGTGTTATTTGAACGGGTATACAGTTGCTATTAGAGCCATACAACTTGATTCCTAATTTCAATGTTTCATGCAGACTTGCAGTCACATCTGTTGTGTTGTGTCATAAGTCATAACTGTCATTTAAAAAAACTTGCATCTCAGTTCAGTCAGTTGAACTCACTGCCCCAAATTTGCTTTTCACCACCGCCTGGCGCCCAGCCCCTTTGGCTGATTCTGACCAGAAACTGGTGCACAGAGCTGGGATCAAACATGCTGCACCTTTCTGCTCTAATGAGCCAATCATCTAATCCTGGTTCCCTAAATTTTAACCACAGTTGAACTTTGTAGTGTTGAACCACTTACCACTGGGCACCATAGTGGCAAACCAGAGCTTTTTTAGAATCAGTTCATTTTTAATTTCCTCATTTACTCAAGATTTAAGCCAATTTCTTAAGTATGATATTACATAGTGGCATAGTGGCAAAGCAGAGAGTTTTTTAGACTCTCCCTCAAGTTCATTTTTGAGTCCTATAAGTAGACCAGTAAAGTATCCTGGATACCAGCTGTCTCTTATACACATCTAGATGTGTATAAGAGACAGATCCTNCAATGATGTTTAAGATTGTTACACCTAAAGTATAAATAACAATGATGTTTAAGATTGTTACACCTAAAGTATAAATAACAATGAGGTTTAAGATTGTTACAATTTAGTATAAATAACAATGATGTTTAAGATTGTTACACCTTAAGTATAAATAACATCGATGTGTTGGTGCAGGTTTGCGAGCTCCAAGTCCGGCAAAGTTTACCTGCACACCGACATCCGCATGTTGATATTCCGCAAGAGCGACGCGGACGCCGCGGCGCTCCACAAAACTGGTACGCCCTACGAGCTGCGCTCCTTCACACACGGCCCCACCAACCCCAAGTACTCCCCTAGGAAGTGAGCACCATGTGCTCCCCTAGGATGTGAGCACCACACATGTTCCCCTAGGAAGTGAGCACCACACATGTGCTCCCCTAGGAAGTGAGCACCACACATGTATGGATGTCGGCAATACGTATCAGTTAAATTTGAAGCGCTGACGCAATACACCTCACCACGTGTCGAATATTGCCACACAAAGTGACGGAATATAGGGATTTGGTAGGTTTCCATTCTAAAGGCTTTTTAATAAATATGGCAACATTTTGTGACGTTTCATCGTTGCTGACGCGTAGTGAAGTGTTTTGAGAGTCATATGAAGGCAACAGAACTTACGTAACGCATACGGTTTTTTTTATAGTTTTTCATTTCTCGATGCGTCCTTAATGTGCTGGAATATACCGCGTTTACCCTATGCTGATTTTCTGAGAGCTGAATTTTCTTTCTGAAGGCTTTACATTGCCAAATAGTGAAGATTCATTGCCAAAATTAGCTACTGACTACTGTCAACTTGTCAAGCTTCAAACAGGTAACAGGCCAATGAGGCCAATAAGCAATAACAAATAAGGGACAGGTGGCCCGGTGGGAACGTGGGATGAATTGGATTTGGAATGGTCCTCTCAGGCTCTCACTCCTCTGACATTTTGTACTAGATATGTTGTAGAATCTAAACTGATTGAAATATTGCATTATAGCAAAACTAAAAATAGTATTGTAAAATTCAAAAATTTATCTAGCCTATTTATGTAGTCAGTAGTGTCAAGCAAGTTAAGAAATTTTATATGTACTATCTCTAAAAAATCACTGAAAAAAGTGTGAAAAGTGATATTTTGGAATAGTACCTCAGCTCAGGCTCAGCTGCTCAGCTAAGGTCTGTAGCAAAATAATAATAATAATAATAAATTGATTCACAATATTAAAAATTTTACTTAGCTACAAATTTTTTTACAGAAAGTTGAACACATGCTTTGGCTTAAAACCACAATTGACTGAATTTAGGTAGCTCATTCCAATTTCCAAAAAATGGTGGCCATTTTTGCATGATGGGGCAATAACTATAAGGGACACCCCCCTCCCCTGGGCCCCTGAGGCAGGATGGAATTCTAATTTTGAAGGTTCATATATTATTTCGATCCACCAAGACCACTTTTTCTACCCAACCTCATTATTTGAGGCAAAAAATTAACTTCTTAACGGTTTAAAATACGTACGCTAACTTGCTCAGTTTCTATAGAGTACCTAATCACTTGGAAGTTGTAAGCCTGCACCTTTCACTCAACAAAACTATTAAAATTAGACTTCTAAAAAGTATTACCGTAGTTGGTTGAAAATTTGTCTCTTAAGTTGACCGCAATGAACTAAACTTCATTAAGTAATTATAAGTATAACTACGCTGCAAAGCAGAGTTTTCCATCATGCACACTAAACACGCTATTCTGGGTTCAGACGAGCAAAACTAGATATCAAGTCAGCTAACGCTAATTAAATACCTAGCTTCTTTCCTCACATCCCGCTCATGCATAATCTAGCGGGATGATCAATGCAGACGGGAACAGAGTCCAACTAATCATTCGTATACTTAGTACAAGAGAATGAATAATTATGTTGTTTCTGATCAAACGAACAAAAACTTTTTCTGTTTCTAATCAAAGAAACAAAAACTTCTGCTCAAACAAACAAAAACTTCTGATCAAACGAACAAAAACTTCTGATCGAACGAACGAAAACACACTTTTTGAAGATAATTCTGAAATCGTAACATCTATTGAATTCTAATACGGATCGTTAATTTTAGCATCGTATTTCCAAGAATCAAGTATTGCATTTTTTTTAATTGAAAAACATTCTTTTACATCATAAACAAATAATTTTTTCTTACAGCTCCTCACGAATGACAAATGAATGCTCCTCATATTGACGAATGACGATGTTACTCTTATAGCTAAAAATTTTAAATTAAACCATTTTGTCATTTCAAAGACTCCATTGATTACAGAACTTAAGTTTTCAAAAGTGTATTCAAGAAAAGTTTCTGAAATAGTAGGAACATTTCCATTATCATTCTGAAATAGAAGCGTCATTTCCATTCTTATATAAAATAGGATTAATAAAATACCCATCAAATCCATCCAATGTCATTCAATTTGTGATGTATGAATGACAGTTTTACTTTCATTCCTATGATGCTCATTTTTACCGGTTGAAGCTGTAGAATTAAATTAAAAAATTAATTGAAATTTAATTTTTCTAAATCAAATTTTATTATTTAATACCTACACTAGATGGTACATGCTGTAGAATCAAATTCTATTAGAAAAATGTTGAATTAAAAATATGATTATATTTTTTAAATTAAAAATTAATTTTTATTAAATTAAATTGTATTATTTATGCACTATATGGGATGTGCTCTATGTTTTATATAATGAAATAGTTTCCCATGTTAAGCAACAAACATTTTCTAAAAGACACAAAATGTTCGAAAACACGGGATGGCAGATGAAATCATTCAGAATTTGAAATGAATTTATTGAGATAAATTAAACATAATAGGGCAAAAAAATGGAAAAATTCAAATCTGGAACATATAAATGGGTTTTATAATTTAAAAAAACTTTCAATCATTTAAATCTCAGAATGGAATGTGAATCAAACCTATTTAATGTGAAATCAAACTAGACACAACCAAAACATAAGTATGTGTGACACCGTCTTGTAATACTACATAAACATAGAAAACACCGATGTGAACGTACGCAGTGAAAGAGTAGCAGTTTATCTCTTAATTTTGTGTGATATCGAAAACTTTGTTGGTGTTGTCCAATCGTGAGAATTTTTTACAAAGCTGGATGTGTTTTTTTTTTTATTTTACAACATATTCATTGCAAAAAATGTGTCCACCAGCCTACAGATAAACGACTAGTTAACTTGATTAAGCGTTGGCAACACGGGATTGGATTTCAAACCACGCACAATTTCAGATGCACGGCAGTTTCTAATGAGCTCAGTTTATCAATTTTCATTGCAGTGGAAGGTGGTGTAACACGGTGGTAGGGTTGGTTTTTCGATACGTTTTCTTATATTGACATGAGAATATATTACCTATACAGAATTCCACACTGCTTTGAGCGTCTGAGGTAATAAAGGATTCACCTAAAAACATATTTACAGCAGAACCTTGGTTAGCAAGAAGCCAATGGCTCCAGTTAGTAACAAAAAATTTGATTATCAGCAAAGAATTTTGATTACATTTACCTTGCTCAGCCAAAAAAATTTCACTTGTCAAAAAAATTAATGCATCATTGGTCATTACGAAATTGTGCACAGAATGTCAATATGTCATGGATATAATTGTGCACCAGGCAGCCTAGAATGAAAAGTAATTAGCCTAAACTATGATTTACTTCTCCAAAAAATCTTATTGTTGTCTGATATTCCTTTCTTTTTCAAGTATGTTCTTTGGTTTTTTTTATAGTTTTGCTATAGTTTTTTCCACCATCATTTTTTCCTTTCTTTTTCAGGTATGTTCTTTGGTTTTTTTTGTTATAGTTTTGTTATAGTTTTGTTATAGTGGACTTGACCCAATTAAAATGATGTGAAATTGCAAGCTGTCCTGTCCTCAGGGCTGTAAGCTTACAGATTAACAGATGCATAACTTCAATAGAAATGGTATACGGCTGCGGATATGAAGCTTGCAGTGGACAAGGTTGTTGTAAATGCTCAATGGCATGTTCATGGATATGGTAATATCACTTCAATAATTAGGTAATATATGGATTAGGGTGATGACTTCATTACATTCTTGTTTCCCTGTATCATAATCTGATGAGCTTTCATTCAAGATTAAATAAAATATTACATTTGCGGCTATTTGACGAAAAATCTCATGCTTAAAACGACTTAGAAACTTTTATTTTTTAGCTTCTAGATACAACATTTAAAACAAGTTAAAAATCACGTTCATATTGCATACAAAATTAAATAGGATAATCAAACGTACAAGATGTCAAATACCGTACTCACTATAATGTCATTAGAGAGGATGAATCTCAGTGGGAGGTTGTCCCTGTTGCAACATGAGTTGTGCAATTCTTGCAAAACTTTTATGGCTCACTTGCAGCACTGGTTGTTTCAAGAAGTGTTGATTGGAGTGTCATCTGTTCTCCAGTGATCTAGACTGTGCTTCAAGCAGTTGAGAGCTTTTGGGTAGTCATTCAGAGCTTCAGAGAGTTATTCAAAATAGCTACCACAAAACAATTGACTGCAGAACCAAGGGTCAACCCATGAGTAACAAATGAACTAACAGATTTTACGCAACATGATTCAGGTTTCTGGCATGAGAATGAACACAAGGAGGGCTAAAATGGCACAATAGCTCTGGTGTACACTGCTGATGTTTGTGATTTGTATCATGTGATTCAATTATCATAATTGCTCATCAAATCCTGCACAAAGAAATACTCAATATTTGATGAGTCGTACACCCATGGAGCTCATCGTCCATGACAATCTGAGGAACACAGTCTAGATCATGGTGCTGACAACTGATGAACTTGGGTTTAGGGTGACCATTCTCTTCGAGCATTTGTTGCAGCTAAACAATGCCTGTCTTCTTTCCGGTATTCACGCTTGTTGTGTCAGCAACAATCGCCAAACTGATCCCACAGGTTGAATTTTAACACATCCTGGAGTCTGTCTGCGATTGTTTGAGCTTTCCCATCTTTCAATTTTAGAGCCATAAAATAATTTCTTTAGATTCATTCTTGAGGACCACAGCCTGATATTCAAAGCCCATGATGTATTTACTGTCAAAGTGTATGCTCCACTTCTCCAGATGAAGCGTGCTCACCAAGTGTTTCTTCAGTCTTCACCCAAGGGGTTCTGTGGTAGAGAGCCTTACGGATTGCTGATTGACATGGGGTTGGAATTTCAATCACTTGCCAGAAAGCTTGTGCACACCACTGTCGCTCTGTGGGACAATAGCCTTGAGCTTCTAACAAGACGTCTTGCAATGCCAGTTGGGTTATGCTTCCTTTTGCCCCTTGACTCTGCATTGTCATCCTCCCAAGTGCTGTCGCTTGTGTTTTCAGATGAGCCAATGCTACTTTCCGAA